CCTTCCTTCCTTCCTTTCTTTAACAAATAAATAATTTTTGTGGTTTGTTTGTAGAGGCTTCTCAATGTGGTGTCATCCTAGTAAAACAGCATCAAAAAACCTTCAGGACACTGCTGAATCGACCACTTCTGGCAAGGCTCTCCTGCTCCAAAAGACAAATAAACGAAAAAATGATTACCATAGAGGTGTTCCTGGACACAGGAGAGCGCGAAGAGGGGCCTTTAGCGTCTTGCAGAATGGATGGGAAGCGTACAAAACTCAGCCTTCTATCCCCTAGGAATGGAACCTTTCCCGGGAGCCAAAACTCTAAACCCCCGGGAACTGCGCTGTCAGATTCTGACGCTCGGGAGGCGGGGCCATCGCCATATATGGGGGGCCGAGCAAATCCTCCGGTTAGCCGAGAGCTCCACAGCTTGTTTAGTCCTGACTGACTGCTGCAGCCGCCGAGTGCAGCGCGGCGCCTCCCCCCTCCCTTATAACTCAAGCTTTTTTTTTTTTACGAGATTGTGTGTGTGTATGTGTGAGTGTGCGTGTGTATATATATATGTGTGTGTGTATGTGTGTGAATATGAATATATATGCATGCAATACACACGCGCGCCAGCAGCCAATGAAGTTACAATATTAAAAAAAAAAAAAAGTCACAGCCCAAGGACAGCTGGAGCGTCTCTCAATTTGCAAAGAATCACGATCGTTAAAAGACTAGTAAGCCTAAATATAAACAACAGAGACCGATGCTGTGTGTGTTAAGCACGAAGCATTACAAAGCACTGGGCGACTCCGAAACCTTCCTTCACTGGGAGAGAAAAGAACCGGGAAGTCTGCGCGCGTGTGCCCGAAGGAAAGAGCCCGGTGCGCGGCAGATACAAGTATCTCGGTGATCAGGATCCTCCCCCAGGCACGCACATGCCCCCGACTACCCCCCTCCCTCTTACAGCAGTATTCGGGTTACATTACGAAAGGAAGGGCAATTTCGACAAGGTTTCCTGCCTATGGAAAAGTGAATTGGCCAAGCTGGCGGACTTGGCTGCATTACACACTCATAAGCACACACATGATGAAATGAGGCATCCGCGCTTAAAAGTCCGGGTCCAACCCTGCAAATATTACAGGTGGTTTGCAAACCGCGAAGACGGCAATCGGTGCCTTTTGAGGAGCTGCGCGGCGCGACGCCGAAGCCCCTTTATCTTCGGGTTAAGAGAGCCCCTCTTAGGGTCAGCGGTAGAGGCGCAGCCATGAAATGCAAACTTTCTAATAGTGTTCGTGTGGAAGGTTCACGCCAGCAGGAACAATAGCTGCCGCCCCCTTTGCACCCAAACATCCGTTAAAAGAGCTGCTTCAAATGCTTTCTTTGTGAATTACTGTGATTACGCTCTGAATTTATTTTTCGAATCAGGCTTTACAGCTATGCTCCTATTGACGTGCGGGAGTGGGAAAAAGAAACGAACCCGGTAAAGAAATCTTTAAAATCCAAATCGATGCCTGCCTTTGGGTGATTTCCAAATGACAGAATTTTCTGCTTTCCTTTTAATGCTTTTCCGGTAACGGGTCAGAGCAACATCTTTGAAACTCTGATTTCGAGGAATCATTAGAAGCATGTGTGTGAGAGAGGGGGGTGGGGGGTGAGATGCACATCCAAAGCTACTAGTGCGTAAGATTGGAGTCCTGTTCCACTTACCTGAGAGAAAGTCCCATTAAACTCAGTAGGACTTACATCTGAGTAGAGATGTATACGACTGCGCTGAGGAATTGAAACACCCTTGAAGTAAGAACGAAACTGCTAATTACTTGTAGAGGATCAGTTGCTGGCAGCACGAGGTGAATTTTTCTCAGATTGATGGATGAATGGAGGGATAGATATAGATATATATGTAGATAGACGCTATTTTAAAGACATTTGCCTTTACAGGGAAACTCTTAGTTAGACAAAGGGTTTCTGGACGCTTCCTCTGCAAGGGACACCCCCACCCCTACACACACACGTACACATCTCAGCCAACTAGCCTTCATTCATTATATGTACATATTTTAAAAAGTCAAGACAAAGAATAGGTATATTCTTCAGTAGGTATATACGTCTTATTCAAAGGTATTGAATAAAAGCATTTCCATCTCGGGTGGGTTAGGAACTGGTTTTATGTGAATTGGCAGGATATGTATGTTAATATTTTAATTAATCGGTGAAAATCGAAGTCCGATTTGTGTTACCAGGGGACCCCCCATCCATCCTCCAAGGGTGGGGGTGAGGGTGGAAAGATGTGTTAGAAAGCAATCTATTTTGCTGGTGTTGAGGGTTAATGACTATTGCTAAAGATAAGTGAATTATCAAAGCTGTTGCTCTACCCGATCTCAAAATCCATTACATTGTTGGCCGTCTAATTAAATACGTAAGTATAATAAAATCATATTTTATGACTATTTGAGGGTAATGAGATTAGTCTTTAGAAGCGATCGCCACATATTAAAGATGCCACTGTCTATAGAATGTTAATAATGTTAA